GTTATTAGCTAATAAAAAATACTCAATAAAATATTCATAATATCTATTAAAAGTTCATTATATCAATGAATTTAAAGTCAGTAAATGTCATTCATTGGTATTATGAATAACATTTTTTTCAGTGTACGTTTACGTTTAATATTCATTTTGAATAAATGTTATAAAAAATACACACTAATAACCAGTGTTGGTTCAAATTGACATTTGATTTATTATTTTTAGAATTTTTTTTAGAGATTGATTATATTGTTTTTTTATTTAATTCTTGAACATCTGATAATGCGTCGTAAAAGAAAAACTGCAGTTCATTTTAAAGAAGAACAGATCTTATAATTAATAAGAATTTCTTTTTGTCACATTTTGTTAAATTTTAATATCGCTGTTTCTTTTAACGAATGAAACCAAACTTTTTTTATTATTTTTTTTAATTAGCATGTTTGTATTTCTTACTTGATACCAGAGTAACGCAAACTCCGCGCCCATTTTTCCGCCATACGATTCAGTTGTGATATACGTCGGAACAGCTTTAAATTCCGGTAATTCCTTATAGAATCCTCGCATACATTCCACGAGGTCCTTTGCGATCTGCGTGTTTGTCCTCGTGTATGCCCATTTGCTTTTAACGTAACTGTATCCGGTACCAACAGGATTGTCGATGAAGAGAACATTATAATTCTTGACCTATAAATTGAATTATACATCGATGATGTTATCCACTAAAAATTATTTTATAATCGGCTACGAGTCTCAACTAGATGACGAGTGTTGGAAATCAATCTAATATTTAATGATTAAATTAGAAGTACATAAAGACATATAAAAACATAACCATACGTTTCAACCCCTATCGAGTCGTCGTTAGTGTACAATTTTATAAAACTAAACAAACTTGCGATTTAATCGTCGACATACAATATGGTCAAATTATATAATATTAATCAATGGTTATTTTAATCTAGATACTGAGAATGCTTTTAATCTTGAAATTGCAATGGGTGAATTTGAATTGCGTTACTGTCTGCAACAATCGAAGGATGGAGAAGGAAGAATAACATCAGGGATATAGACATAAAATATTCGAGAAGGAATAGTAAAATCGCCTTAACATCGTAAAAATTGCGAATAGGGTCATGTGATAGAACTGTTATATCTATGTCGACGATTAAATCGCAAGTTTGTTTAGTTTTATAAAATTGTACACTAAGGATGACCCGATAGGGGTTGAAACGTATGGTTATGTTTTTATGTCTTTATGTACTTCTAATTTAATCATTAAATATTAGATTGATTTCCAACACTCGTCATCTAGTTGCGACTCGTAGCCTTTAATTGCAAAATAATTTTTATCATTTGAGTCTATATAATTCATATCATACTTTTACATTTTTGCTTGTATGTAAATTTCTTTCTCTTTCCCTTGTGTTACATCGCCAATAAACCAATATTTTAACAAATTTTTCTCAATAATTAAATATTTATTAATCACGTACACTACTTGATATTATAGTGTTTGATTCCAAAATCTATTCTATTTTCGCATAATTTAATACCCAAGTATAATTCCTCGGATTCAAGTTCACATCGAGGGGACCTAATTCCTCGAAATTTCCATAACTCGTTGAGGATCCCCCTGGTCCACCTTGCAACCAGATGAGTAACGGTTTGTCGTAATATGAATTTACCTTTGCCGTGGTATAATAAAGCCACCAGAACATATTCGCATTGGGGCGCACTTGAACATAATTCCATTCTTGTTCTCCATGGCCGAACCCTTTCCTTCCTTTTGTCAAAACATTTTTGATTATTAATAAAGGTAAATAATTAATTGTGTCAACATCTTCTTTTATTCTTCTTCTTTCGTAATTTTTCATTTAAAAAAAGATTTAAAGGAATAATAGTACAATATGTATCAGCAAGTCATCTTTCAAGAAAACGTATATAAACTGTAGAGGGTAATTTTCTCATGATTTTTATATTTAAATACATGGTGTAATATTTGCGATATATTAGATTGAAAATCATATTAATTTTCTGCATCGATCTTCACAACAAAGCGTCTCAGCTGATTCGAAAGTCGGCGACGCAAAGACGAGTAGCTGAAACGGCATATATTTGTCAAGCGAAGACTTAGGTAAATTTGAAAAGTTTTAAAAGAAATCGTAAAGTAAACGTTCCCGCGTCACTATGGTAAAAGCTAGAAATGCACCGGTTGAACACTTTGACGTTTACTTGCACCAAAATTCGGCAAACTCGCAGCGAGTAAAAACATGCATGAACATACAGCGAATGCTTAAAATTTAACAGCCTAATCCATACCACTGCGTTCTAAAAGTTTAAGAAATATTTGATGAAAATATTTGATAAACATATTCCAAAAATACCTTATTCAGATAACACTTAACAGGGAATTAGGGAAACATATAGTATTATCTACATTATATATTTCAATGAAAAACTAAAGAGAGAGAGAGAGAGAGTTTGGAGTACTAATCACTCTTATCAATATAAACCTAATTTATCACACAATATTAATCAAGCTATTAATTAATTCTTTATCTTTCAAGATCAACGATATTAATGAAGCGATTAATCCTTTATTTTTCAAGATCACTGAACATTACATTGTTATATTTTTATTTAAAAAGATTTAAAGAAAATACGTGTATACGAACAATAATATATTTGAAAATGGTATTGTAACTTCTCAATAAGTATTTTAATAAACATATGGCACAAAAAACTTCAGCAGTAAAACGTAAATAAATTAATTTTTTTTAATTTGCTGTTATCCCTTATGTCTCTATTATGATTGGCTGATTGTCTCACTGCTTACGTGTTACTGCCTCACATTCTTTTGTGTGCTATAGCTTTTAGAAATGTTCATAAGATAAGATATTCTTATCAAAAAATTTTTCGTTCATGAATATGTATAAATATATCAATAGAAATAGGCTCGTGTAAATGCTCGTAAAACGCAATTAATTGAAATATCAAGGCTTTTATTATAAACGAGCAATATTAGTTAATTAATCAAATTCACATTATATTCACATACGTATACCGTTAAAAATCTCAAACATTTCGACTTACAAAGTCTTCATCAGTGATTAACAAAAGAACCTATTTGTATAACCCCTAACGATGCCACTAATGTACTTATAATATAAAATAAAAATTATCGCTCTAAGCTAGTTCTATATACTTATTTCTACGTTAAAATGTTACGGATCTATAGAGGTGTCCAGTCCGAAGATAGAAGAGAATCCATAAATGTAAAAATTGTGTGTAACCAGTTCGTCGGTATTTATCGAGAATCAGCTCAGTCCACAATCCATTATAAAAAAGACAATCCGATCCAGGATTTCATCTATAACCGTCCTATTATATTGATAATTTATATGACTGTTCAATTTAAATGACTGTTCTATATGAATTATCAATATAATAGGACGGTTATATGGCACCCGGGTAATGTTTTCGAATACAGCCTTAGTATAATATTTAGTATAATAAAAATCTTTGTAAGTTTCATATGAGATATATCTTAATTGGCACGCAGTACGTCGTATCGTTTGTGTCCAAAATAACTATGACATATTCTTTACTTCTAATCTTTTCATTCTGACACTCTCCAACTGTAAACCTTTGCTGTATTCTGGACATCTTTAGGACATTTGGAGAACTGTGTTGTGTGATGGAAGAATTTGAATATAGTAAGATATTTTAAGATATTAAATAGGACATCTCTCTTACGATACTGGAATGAATTAGTTTGTAGGTATTGTAATTAGAAAATTAATTTGTCTTTGAAGATGGCTAAAAAATGAGCCGAAACATGTAAGCGGGTTATTTAATAAAGACTTTTGTGTTATATCCACATTGTTTGTTTTGCGCAACAATTACCGCGCTTGACTCCTATTGCCCTATTTTATCTATTTTCTTTGGAATATCTTATGATGTTTTACGATATTTTTTTGGATATCCCGGATGGGATATCGCTTTATTGTCACTATGGGACAATTTGGGATATCCTCAGGATAAAATGTGCTGTGTGGGATCTTACCAATGCTGCCAGAAACAAAGCACAACACGCCAAAAGTATAAACAAGTGGAACTCGCATCGTCTTGTTTTGTACAGTGAAACTTTTTGAAAACTAAAATTGCTGCGAGTAATGTACACGATTTTATAGTCTTTTATTTATCACAAACCACACAATTCATATCAGTCGCATTCCATTGATAAAATAAAATGAGAGCTTCCCTCTCAATGTTTCCTTTCTTCTGACTTTGTTATCACTTATCTTCAGTTAATCTTTGGATAAATCAAAAGCTCATTATAAGCCGTGCGTTTATATCTTTCATTGTAAACTTTATTATATTTATCGATTTGTGGCAAATAATAGACTGCGATCAGTTCCACTATTTACAATATTGAACACTGCACAGCTTTATAGAGAATAGCGATAAGCGCAAATTTTTATAAACACTATAAAGGATAATTTATTATTATTTATTGATTTTATATTATAATTAAATTATATATTTCTGTAAAAAAATATCGTACAGTTAATTTTTAAACAAAAAGTGTTATACTTTAGGGATACATTGGCTG